CACAGGTGTGATGAGTGAAAGCTAAAACCGGGGGGGGGGGGGGGGGGGCACGTGATATCGGTCGGGCTGAACTGCCACACTACTATACCGCCCTCGACATCACTGGTGTGAAAAATGAAAAGGGCGTAAGTCCACGGACTTTGCATTGAACTTACGCCCTTTTCCTTTTTCACCAGTGACATTCAAAACGTACAGTGCAGATGTGAAAGGTGGCGGGAATTTTTGCGAGGGAGACAAAAAGTCCCAGCCGACCAGAGTGGCTGTGCGTTGCGGAGGAGAGCGCCGCACGCCCCGAACACCCCTATTGACAGGACCATCCCTCGACCCTGAACCAGCTGAGGACGACGACGCCGTGGTCCTGTCGAAAGGGGTGTTCGCGGGGGGCCGCGACGACGCCGTTAAGCTGCCGGGCCGGCGGGCGTCAGCTGGCGAGCGGGCCAGAGGGAGAGAGATCGCCAGCCTCGGACCTCGGCCGCCTCCCGAGGGGCACAACGCCGGCGTCGGCCCCGGAGTCAGCCCCGGCGTCGCGTCGGACCGGCGTCAAGCCCTCCCCTCCCAGCCCTGCGCTCCGCACATGCGAAAGCGTCCAATCACGAATGGAAAGTGCACGTTAGAAAGGAAACAGCGCGGACAAAAAACTGTGCAAATATTAATGAAAACTAGGTATAGTAATCATCACTGATTTACGATATAGGTCGTCGGCACCCGATCGTTTCCCATCATTTTAACCTCGATCTTAACAAAAGTCCGTGGAAACCCCTCCCAAGGAGGAGGGCAAAGTCAGCATGACATCAAAATGATGTCAAAATGACTTCTAAAGTCAACGTAGGGGACCATTTTGACATCACGAAGACGTCAAAATGGTCCCCAATTTTGACCTTGAAGGTCATTTTGACGTCATTTTGATGTCATGCTGACTTTGCCTTCCTCCTTGGGCTTTATCTTTCAAAGGGAGAAGTCCTCCCCTCTGCGTGGAACCATGAACCCTTATACTCTCATGGTGGAACTGTTGCGAAACCATAGCACGCGCCTCGCAGATCCGATCCGATCTGATCAGAACTATTCGCGCCCCCCATATCGACAGTAGCAGTGCAGCATGCTGCAGGCCCGCCTGCATAATACATCTATACTTACCACGTCGGTACCGGGAACAGAGCGCCCGCCTCCACCTCCGCCTCTGCAGATTGCTTTCTATTTGCTCGCCTCTTCTTTTCCATTCGTTATTTAATTGCCCGCAGAGCTATTCTCCGCTACTTGCACGTTATTATAATTCGCGTGTGCCACCAGGCCGCGGGCCAAAAAAATAAGGCGTTTTGCTTTTCGCCAAAAACTCTCTCACACTCACACGCGCGCACACGCATCCTCACGCGTTCACACACGGGCGCACTGGGGTGCGTGCGTGCGTGCGTGCGTGCGTGTGTGTGACTAGCCCAGCGCGGTTCGCCGACAGGTACCCACAGGAAGGCACCCACAATTTCTCCCTAATGCTGGCGGCACGCAGAGCGTCGTCACCCAGGAGCAAGGCGGGGCAGGGCAGGGCGGGGCGGGGCGCTCACGTGCACGGGCCAAGCAGACCGCGACGCGTAGGTGTCCGCAGCCCTCCCACCGAGCGCTGCGTGACGAACTGCCGTGTCGTGTCCTGGTGCGCGCGGAGACGTCGCCAGGACCCTCCTCACCCTCCTCCTCGTCGTCCTGCTCGCGATGTAGCGCCGTCCTCTCACTCACCCTGCTCCTCCGCCGCCGCTGACGCCGGCCCCTACTAGGCGCAGGTCCAGCCACGACGGCCGCCGCGATGGAGCGCGAGGTGCTGCTGCTGATCCTGGTGCCGCTCATCGCCGTGCTCGCCGCCCCCGCCGACGAGCACCAGCACCTGCCCGATGACGACCCCGGCGACGACGACTTCACGGGCCGGGGACCCACGTTCGGCCCCGGCGGCTTCCTGGACTTCTCGCGTACGTATGGGGGTTCGAGTTGCAGGCGTGTATCCAAAAGCATGTCAGGGGTCACCCAGGCGAGGCGTGCGCGAAGTCGTGTTTTCGGCGGTGTCGAAACGTTGTCGCAAGTCGAACTTGGGCATCGTTTCCCGCCGTATCGGCTCAAACCCGCGCCGAATTTCGACTAACGACATCGGTAACGACATTACGACCCGAGAACGTTCTCTCTATGGCCCCTCTGCAACGGCGGCATCTTATTCGATATCCTCGTCCTTCCGCAGGAGGATACCAGCGCCTGGGCAAGAAGATGATCCTGCCGCTGCTGGTCGGCATCCTGCTCAAGGTGGCCAGCTTCGTGCCGCTCATCCTGGGCAAGCTGACGCTGCTCGCGCTCGCCTCCATCGTGGCCTCCAAGCTGGCGCTGCTCATCTCGGCCATCGTGGGCACCAAGAAGCTGTACACGTCGCACGCCGTGCCCTACTCGTACGGCGGCCACCACGCCGGCGGCCACGACTGGGAGGGCGCGGCCAGCAGCATGTACGCCGAGCTGGCGCAGCCGTCGGCCGCGGCGTACGGGGCGGCGGCGGCGTACGGCGCGCACCCCGCGGCCGCCATGCAGGCCATGTCGCACCACCGGCGCGTCGCCCCGGCGGCCGCCCAGCCCAGCGCCGGCAGCGCCCTCGCCTCGCTCGCCGCGCAGTTCGGCCGCGCCCTGGACCTCGACGCCCTCGAGAAGGGACGAAGGTATGGGAACCGGGGGGGAAAGGTGTGCGAAACATCCCTACGATATGACATGTCATTTGACACACCTCCTGTGTTACAGCTCGACGGGAGCCACGCCATCGCGGACGGTCAGCTCCGCGTCATCCACCTCGACGACGCCGTTGTCGGCGACAACCTCGACGCCAGTCCCTCGCCAATCGTCGGCGAAGTTGCGTCGACGACGGAGAGCAGCTTGAGCTTCGACGACTTTTAGCATGATCTCTCTCTCTCTTACCAAAGTTCCCAATCGTCTGCAAATTTCTGTTTGGCTATGAAGTTTGTTGATTGGCGTTTGAAATTATGTCTCTCTAAATTTAATGTGTAATTTATTTAATTTATAATTATTTATTTATTAATTTATTTGTTCAAGTTTTTTTTTTGTAATAATTTATTGACATTGTTCATTCATCCTTGTTTTTGGATGATGCCTATGACTTGACTGTGACCTAACTTCCATTGTGAATGAGAAAGAAAAAAATATTCTTTTGCAACAAAAAAAGTACTCACTTTTACATATATATGTAACTAAGAATGTGTCCTTATATTTCTTAGTAGCAACATGATACAAACAGTAAGAAAATAGGAACAGGGTCCACCATAAAATCTACTGAACATATATGTGGTCTGAAATGCCTTATGGCTTACAACAAAACCATATTAGTAATTCTCTGATGGGCATACAAAAGAAGGATCCTAATTTTAAAAACTCCATAATTATCTGAAATTGCAGATTGTGCTGGTTTACTACAGTGATTAAATGGTTTCTGAAACATTACAATGGTCTACCTACTTGAATAATAACAATAGTAAAATATACTGGTAAAAATTTGGGTCATATTATACACAGAGTTTTTTTTTTCTAGATATGCAATCTTTGAGGCTTTGAATTGAGGTGTTGTAAACAGTGCACAGGCATGCAATAGGTAGGGTCTACAGGTTTGATGGATGGAGACTCACCCAACAGTGACAGAGCAGCAAGACCAAAGAGAGTGTGGAAGGGATCTGGCATATCTCCTGGGCGGTCACTAAAACCTCCAGTTTCCGTATCCTAAAACAAACAATTTAATATTCAAGTTAGAAAAATAGATTAGATATACCGACCAGTAAATGTTATTTCCCATATTTTACTTACTTGGCATGCTAATATGAATTTCACAAGCTGGCCCTTGTGAACCCAATGTAGACGACCCAAAATGCTGAGAGAAGACAGTACCCACCATGAGTAACACACATCAGGGAGTTTTTCAGGTCGACCATTTAAGCCACCAGAGGGCAACTGTCTTTCACAGAGCCACCAGCCTAAGAGATCTGCATCCACTCGATGCAATTCACCTAAAAAGTTTGATTGGTCATGAGGTCTATGTTTTTGTCTTTAGCAATGAGCAAGTACAAATCAATGCCAGCACACTTACCGGTAATTGATAGGAATCCTACGCAGCAGTAAATTTGTCCAGCATGACTCTCTGCACCAGGGCAAGAACCAAATCCTCCATCAAAATTCATGCAGGACATTACAAATTCAACTGCTTTATCCATATTAATAGCATCCAAACGATTCTATAGAATTTAATATTGTTTGAACAAGATTAGAAAACTTGGTTACTACGTACTGGACAAATCAATGATTTAGAGAAAGAAAAAAAAAACCTTACCACTAAAGAAAGGCAGGCAACGGCACAAAATGAAAACCTTGTGTCTACTTCACCCCATTTATCACCAACAAAACTACCATCTTCCTTTTGAAGCCCAGAAACATATGATACAAGAGATTCAATATTGATTTGATCAATAGCATCATACATCACCAAAATCTACAAACAAGAAGAGAGAGAAAAAGTGCTAATGTAATTTAAGAGATTGAATTTACATAAAAATATAGTATGTAATATGGGGAAAGATTCAGTACCTGAACAGCACTTAGGGTGTATAGAATATGAGCATCATGGCCTGGACTTGCCATGAATCCCCCAGATTCCTCTTGACATTTCACAACAGCTGATATTACTTCTTCTGCAGGTAGTCGATCTTGACAACCAGCAAGATTTAGTGCTGTCATCACCCAGTACATTCCTGACATTCTCATATATTCTGTCATACAAAATTCCTGAGAATAATACAGAAGAAATTGAAAATTAAACGCAAGCGCGTAGTAAATGAACTGTCCCAACAACAGTATGGTGACAAACTACATACATAGTCGTTTTTATCAGTCCCGTAGGATGTCAGGAATTCTATGTGTTTTTCAAGCAACAATGATGATGGTAAATCCTTGGCCAAAACAACATCTCGCATAGGTTTTGCCTGGAAAAAAATAAATTATATTTCATTCATTCTTCAAGGAAAGTAAGACTTTGGTAAATTAAGAGATTAATTAAAATGCCTAGGACTAGAGGATGTAAGGGTAATCAATACCGATAAACAAATATTATACATGACATTAGTATTTTTAACTACTTTGTGGACACAAACCACTATAAGGTTATAAATGTATATATTTCAGTAGTGTGCATGTTATAGGATAAAACACTTACCATGTCATCAATATTTTATGCGCTGTTTAGTGAAGATCACAATCACAGTATTAAAAATTACTGGCTGTGCAAAGAGAAAAATCACAACAAATAATCTGTGGCTGCTTGAATCTTGAATTGACAAGTAAACATGAATAATTCTGCTTTGGGGAAGAGATTTTTCATACTTCCACAAGAAATTTTTCATGCTCAACAACAACAACAAAAAGTGGGTGGAGAAGGAAGGAAAGCTGTCTGCGAAGTGGTGAAGTTGTCAGAGGCAAGATCGAAACACAAACCATAGACATGGATTGAGTCACACACCGAATATACTTAGATTGATTTCGCGTCGTTTATTTTGAGCGAATTCCTTGTGCGTGGTTGTTCTGTTCTTTCTAGCGTCGATCAACAACGCACTTCATAATGGCTGAGGTAAACATAACCTTAGAACCGTTTGTGTCTTTTATCTCAAGCTGTTCTTTAAACTGTAAATTTGCCATCATCTATCTTTCTCCACGGTCAAGGCTAATAATATCTTTTATTTTAGGAAATGAAGAAGTATTTGAAGCAGCTGCTATCAAAGTGAGTATTTCAGAAGGCATACTTTGCCTAACCATTGAGATCAGCTGATCAGCTGACCCTTGTTTCTTTGTGGTATAATTTCATAGCACCTTAGACAGTCCCCAAGACTGTTTCTACCGGCAGGGAATGTGCACCCCCTTCTCCTTGCTCTTTTTTTTTCAAATTACTAAACATTACCATAAATTCTTTGCCAGAGTTGACAATCTTCTGTGCATCCTGATCACTGATAGAGATGGTGTTCCTATTCTTAAAGGTATGCCAAATTTGACTCCCCAAATCCGTCTACTGATGAAGAATGTGATCCATCTATTAATAATGATCCTTCTTTTCCAGCTGTAAATGAAAAGTGTCCTGAGCTGGCCATGCGACCCAACTTTTTAACAACTTTTGCGATGGCAACAGATCAAAGCAGCAAACTTGGCCAGGGCAGGAATAAAACTATAATCTGCATGTATTCATCATATCAGGTAGACTTCATTACCAGACTCGTGTTTTTCATATTTCTGCCTATCCATACAATACAACAATGCAAAATTTCTTTCCAGGTTATCCAAATGAATAAATTGCCTCTTATTCTAAACTTTGTTGCAACTGCTGATTGCAACACAGGCCACATTCTCTCGTTGGAACCTCTTATTGAGCCTCTTCTGGGTGGACTGAAAGGTGCCGTCATAGAATCCTGAGGGGAGCCTTCGCCTGGCCAGCTCCAAGATTGGAACGTCATCATGTAGACTACCAAGGCAGCCAGGCGAACTGATGATAAATGTTCAACTGTTGTGCGCGTATGTGTGATTGTTTAAGGAGTCCTCATCAAAATGGTATACTTTGAAAATTGAGGTACTAATGAAATAAGTATTCTGTGTCTGTGCAACTTGGAACTCTGGAAGATATGTTGTAGCAAGACAAGAATGTCTACAAATCACAAGACTGTGAAGTAAGAAGCAAGTTTACTTTTCTCTCTCTAAAATATATAATTGTGATAACTGTTACTAAGTGAGCTTTCATTTTAAAAAAAGCTCCAGTCTTTTCTTTGTTGATACTTATTATAGCTGTCTGGTAAATTGAAGAGACAATTCTTCAGTGTGCTAGTTTGTAGAAGTGAGCATGTGCAAAAATTCTGTTTTGATATTTTTTAAAATGATTATATTCCAATGAACAATTTTTATATGACTTGAAAACAATTTTAATGATCTTCTGCAAATATCTTAGAAATAAGATATTCCAGCCTATACAGGTGAAGGCATAGGCTGACCCTTGAGCGCACACAGGATATTTTTTGCTGCTAGGACTGCCATTGCTGCTCGAGTGCCCACTGTTGCACTTCCTACATGTGGAAATAGTACTAGAAGAGCAAGAATATGCAGGATTATTAATTTTACCCATCTTGCAAAGGGCAGTCCAATGTTACTAGGAGGAGATATTTGACCACTTACCACAGTTATCAAGGCTAACCAAGGGATGGTCTACTGGTATAGGCTCTGGCACCATGACATCCAAGCCAGCACCCCATATTTTCTTAGTCTTCAATGCATCAACTAGTGCTTCTTGATCTATACAACCTGTCAAGATACAATAAACTTGATACATATGCTCAATGTTAAGTGCTTTGACACCTCTGAATTTGTAAAACATTCCTACCTCCCCGGCCAACATTTATCAGGATTGAGGTAGATTTCATCTCATCAAAGACCTGTGCATTGAACAAATTCTTTGTTTCCGCAGTCAGTGGACAAGCCATCACAATTATGTCGCTTTTTCTTACTAGTTCGTCAAAGGAAACAAACTCTGCACCCAGGGCTGATGCTAAACCCCCACAACAAGAAAGGACAGTTAATGTTAGCTGATAGTCATACACTTTTTCTAACGCAAAGACAATTTTGTTGAGCTGAGCAAAACCACGCTCGAGCTGAAAACATGCAACAACTTTTCAGGCATCCAACAAAGCTTACCCTCAGGTTTCGGCTTGTGTCCAGAATACAGGAGTTTCCCGATGTTGAATGCCTTGATGCGCTTGGCGAAAGCCTGCCCAATGCCTCCCAGCCCGACAACTCCAACGGTGCTCCCCGCGACGTCAAGGCCCAGCATAAACTGCGGCCGTCCGGTCTCCCACAAGCCTCTGGAGAACGAGAACGAGGGCGTCAGCGAGAACAACACCTCCCTCCAGCACCGGGACTTCGTGTGGCCGACGACGGCTTACCGCTCCAGGGCCCGCCGCCCCTCCTGCAGTCTCCGGGACACGGTGAGCACCAGGGCGACGGCCGTCTCGGCCACCGCGTCGTTCAGGACGTTGGCGGTGTTGCCGAAGGGGATGCCCCTCCGCTTGAGGAGGTGGGCGTCGATGTGGTCGTAGCCGGCCGACATGGACGCGACCGCCCGCAGCGCGGGGCCTGCGGTAAGGGCAACGAGGATCACGTTGACGGGGACCTGCATCGGGCGGGTGGGTGGTGAGGGGAAGCCGCGCAGCAGCACATTATGGGCTCACCCGCTGCATCGACGACCGCGGCGTCGAGCTTGTACTTGCTGCACCAGAAGATGGCGTCGACGCCCGAGCTGGGCATGTGCTGGAGGATGGTGTCGTAGGAGGGGTTGTTGGAGGGCACCTCGACCACCTCGCACCTGCAGCAGCACAGGTGTCACACACACGCACACTCAAATAACACACACACACACACTGGAAAAACTAATGTTACCAAGGTAACGTTTCTTGACGCAACCAAACCAGGTAACGTTTGGTGATGCAACCAGTTTGTGATGGCCCTATCCTTTTGCATGGAGTAGGTTGCATCAGGAAACGTTACCGGGCTTGGTCACATGATGAAACGTTACCAGGGTAACATTAGTTTTTCCAGTGCACGGGGACTACTACTCACTCCTGTCTGAGCAGCGCAAGGCCCGGCTCGGGTACCTCCGCGTTGCTGACGAACACCTTGGGTCTGGCCATGTTGCAGCTGGTCTCGCGGTACGGCGGGCTCTGCGGCTGCTCTTGGCCCGGCTCTGCTCAGGTGGTCCTCGTCGTCCTGGCCTCGGCCGGCTGCTGGTGCCGAGGCCAAAGCGCCGGATTACGTCGACGGAGCACGGTGCGGCACAACAACATCCCGATGGCCTCTTATCTCCCCTTTGCTCTCTCTCTCTCTCTCTCTCTCTCTCTCTCTCTCTCTCTCTCTCTCTCTCTCTCTAGCCCCTCCCCTCCCCTTCTCTCCCCTCTCCTCCCATTATCGCCTTTTGCCATCGCCTGGACGCGCCGCGATAACTCGATAACGATTCAGAAAACTAACGGATCGCTCATAATCCCGCCGGCAGTTTGCCGATTGCCGCATCGATCGGGAGCGAGAAAGTTACCGCAACGCCAGAAATAAAGTTATCGCCGATCGATATGAAAGCTTTCAATCTCAGAATGATGTCCACAGATTGGCGCGTGCCATGACATCAGAAACAATCTGTTACACTTTTGCATCGGTATATCACATCCTGACGGACGGTCGTTGGTGTCGTCGCGATTGTAAAACGTTTCACTCTTTCGTCCTCAGCAGGCTCGCCCCCCCCCCCTATCCCAAAGCTGTTTGCACCAATGGTTTGCACACACACGACACACACCCTCCTCGACTCGCGCCCATTTACAACACGATCAGCCGTGCGAGCTAATCCCAAAGCACGTTGTTGGGTTATCTGCCGACGTTATGATGAGCCCGATGAGCCCCCGCACGGCCAAAACGACGATCCCAGCAGAGGAGGAGAGCTAATCGCTCTCTCTCGCCTACTGCCTACGGCCCCGCGCGGACAAGAAAAGAGCGAGTGCGGGGGTCTCCGATGGTAATAAAGTGACCCGGAGTAGGGCCTAAGTGACGGCGCCGCCACGTGCTGCCCGCTCGGCCCCTAGAGACGCCACAACTAGGGTTGGAAACCCTGGAAAGTTTCGGGAAAATTTCGGGGAAAAAAAAAGAAAATTTTCGATAAAAGGTAAAAATTTCCCAGACTTTGAAAGTTTTCCGGAAATTTTCGGGAATTTTTCGGGAATTTACAACCCTAGCTACAACGCCGAGGTGAGACCTCGGGTGAGACGCTGTCGTATACCACTGTAGGAGACACCTCTCGGCTAGTTCTAGTTGCCGCTGCTGGCTCGAGCTGCTGCTGTTCAGACTGGCTCATCGGCACGAGTCGTGCTGCCGCGTCCGCTTCCCCCCGCCTTTCCCCTCTTCTCCTTTTCCCTCCCCCCCTCTCTCTCCCCCCTCCTCCATCACTTCCCTCTTTTCGCTCGGACCGCGACGACGCCGTCGACGCCGACGTGCCGGCGGCGCGAACGGACAAGGTCATGGGCTCCACTCGTCACCACAGTGCGGATGAGTATCAAAAAGGGGGGGGGGGAGATGTCATTTTGGGACGCACCTTGTGGGGGTGGTGGAGCTAGTCACGCTTTGAGGATGAGCATGCGCGTGGGCAAACGCTGAGCACCGAGTCATACACGTCTAGTGAGACCACAGCGAAAGGTCGTAATATACCTTTCAAAGCACGCGGGGGCCAAGGAGTTTACAGAGGCGAGAGACTGGCGAGAGGGGGAGACAGGAAAAGTACTTACGATCTCCACGGCGCTGGTGAACAAGCAGTCGTCATAACCCTTTTTGAAGTTGAAGTATAGAAGGGTGTGCTAGGACTGGGACGTCCGCACGCCGAGGTGCGTGACTCTAACCACTCGTCGCTAGTTCTTGCAGGGTGCTTTATCAGCGCAAGTGGTTTGCCGACTACCATGACCATCCACGGTGGTCCACACACACACACTTTTCCTTTATATTACTTATGGTAATAATTCGAGTTACTAACAGATATATCTTCGCACCCTGGTGCGAATAGTTACTTTCTACCGAATATCAGTAATATGTCGATTTCAGGACCATTCCATCGTTGATAGTTGAGTGGCGCCACTGATCATAGGTAGAATGAGAAGTCGACATAGGAAAACCGACAGCTATCCTGTTGGCAATACCGGCCCGATATCAGAACGACGAAATTATTATTTCTCGAAAAGTGATCCACTCTGGGCAGGTGGTTGGCTATGGGCCGCGCATTTCTCTGCTGCTCCAGTCTGGCGAATCAAAACAATATATGACCGTGAATAAAAAGAGTTGCAGCGTTTCGATTCACTCGCGTCAAGCCCCCGTTAAACAACTAAACAACGACCGCGAGCTGGAAGCAGCGCGAGCGCATTTTGAATGTCAGAGGTGAAAGTAGTGATGCGGAGAGTATTCTCGGTGGGGGTTGACATGACCCCCCCCCCCCTCCTCGTCCATGCCGGCCGGATGCCGGAAATACACATAAGTTGGACGTTTTGTGTCGGTGATAACCTGGTGATAACGTGCCGCGTGCCGGGCTCCTCCCGACTGATAAGCGCCAGCGGACACACACACTCGCACCCACACACACGCACACACACACACACACACACACACATCCTACCAAACGGACCACGTGGACCAATCGCCCTCCAGGCTCTTGCCGCAGGCCTCCCCGAGCTATCACCATGGCTATCACCCCCTCCCCCCCTCCCGAAAGAAATCGTCTTCGATATGGAAATCGAAACTCTCGAGACGATATCCGACATCAGTAATGCGTGTTGTCAATGTCAAGACCATCATCGAGTCAAAACGGAGATCGACAAGTTCCTGATAATAACGACGACGGTCTGATATATCGTTTCGATATTATTAGCGGTAGTAGTAGTTGTAGTAGTACTCGGGCCGACTCACGCGATATCGTATCGCGATAATGGAGCTCGATAGCAACGAATTCAAGGCGCAGCAGAGCGGTGCGTGCGCGACAAGGAGTAAAAGCGGAGATACGCCGACAGTCCGAGTAACCATAGGGAGCACTGCACGGCTAAACATACTGAAGTGGAGCGGTGGAGAGGAAGGGAGGAGGAGGGGGGGGGGTGCTCATGGGGACAAATCACGCACCCGCATGTCTCTGTCCGTCTCCCACTACAGCACCGGGGTTCACGTG